GAATCATAGGCTGCTTTGAAATCGACAAATAGTGCGTGGTCCCAATTTAGGTAATGTTAAATATACTATCAATATTAATATGATCTACACAATTATGAAATGTCTATGCCAATATAATAGATATAAATACCATTTACATTTGAATTCATTGCACTAAACCATAAGTCCTATCAATTAAAAAATTGAAGATGATTTACAGATATAGTTTGGCCAGTTATTGAAGGTTGTCCCCCCTCCTCTAGTCTTCCATTCTATTATTGTCACTATGTGAAAATATAATTCTGTTGGAATTATATCTTTTGAACTGGTTCAATGTAATGATAAATACTAAAAAAAATACACTATTTATTGAATAGTAGATTGGTTGGGGTGTTCAAAATAAAAATGTAAAAATAAATAAATTATATTTATTGTTATTTTTGCCCACGTTTCACCCCAAAGTTTAGGCCTTCATTTGGACTAAGAAAAACCAGATAACAATGGGTATGAGAAACTATTAACATTAAAAGGAAAATAATAATATGTAGATGAAAGATATAGTCTAAAAACGTGTTGGTAGAATAAATTCAAAGTAAAATAAAGCAAGTAGAATAAACTTAAAGGAAATATAAAATAATGATATTAAAGTTCGGAATAGAAAGTAGTGGAAGCAAAGTTAGGCCATATAACATAACGGTGACAAAGTTAGAAACTTATGAATAAAAGAATAGCAGTAACAGAGAACTATAAAATAAACTGTAACAGCAATAAAGTTAGGGACTAATTAAATAAGCATGATGAAATAAGATAACATAAGGAATAAAAAATTAATTAACAACAAAATGTAATGGAATAAATGACATGAAAATGTAAGTGTTAGACATAAAATAAATGGGTTGACATGGTTATGATGTCTTAGTATGTTAAAGGAAGTGAGATTGGCATAAAATAAAATGTAAAACAGAGAAAAGAATATGAAGTTATACAAAGAAAATAATAAATGTAAATAGAAAAATTAAGATACTGTAAAATTTATCAGATGAATACAGTGAACATCCCAAGTTCAATACAGACAATCTTCTCTTCAATTATTCACTAGCCAACCATCAATCCAAAATTATGAACTATTTATTTGTCACCATTAATAATTAAATGATTTGTATTAACTGTAATAATTTTCCAGTCGCTTACGAGAACCTTCCATAATCTCCGAGATGTTGGTCATCTAACAGTACGTGTTTATAAAGCCAAAGGACTGGCATCGGCTGATCTAGGGGGGAAATCTGACCCATTTTGTGTTTTAGAACTAGTGAATTCAAGGCTACAAACACAAACAGAATACAAAACTCTTTGCCCATCGTGGCAGAAAATATTTACTTTGTAAGTAGAAAAAAAAAATTAAATTTAAAAATGGAAATAAATTTTGTGAAGGTCTGGCAAAATGTGATAAGTCCGATTTGCCTCATTTTGAAGGAAAAGTGTATTTAATATTTCTCTAATTTAGAAAGATATTTTTTTTCCAGTTTTTCCTTGTTCATTAATCTGTCTTAAGCTTGAATTTATCTAATAACTTAAACAAAAATTATTGTATTATTACCCTAGTTTTAATTTTAAAATTATACGGTCTGATATATTATTGTTTCTTTTTTCTTATTTTCTACCAGTTTAATGAAATCATTGTTTACCATATGAAAGAATTCCGGAATACTTACTTTAATTGTGAAAAGTGTAAAAATAAAATAGGAGATTGCCATAAAATAAAATATCTATTTTTGCCAGACCACCTACAGAAATAATATTATCATGCCTAACATAATAAGCATTATTTATTTATTTTAATTTATTAATTCATTTAAAATTAATATCAAGAGACCATTTATTATTAATTCTCATTTGTAATACTTTTTAAATAGTAATGTAAAAGATGTGACATCAGTCTTAGAAGTCACTGTATATGATGAGGATAGAGACCACAAAGTAGAATTTCTAGGAAAAGTTGCTATCCCATTGTTAAAAATAAGAAACAATGAAAAACGATGGTATGCTCTCAAAGACAAGAAGCTGTACAGTAGAGCTAAAGGAAATTTTCCCCAAATTCTCTTAGAACTTTCAGTAATCTGGAACCCAGTAAGTATGTTTATAATGAACAGTAGTTCATAATGTTAAAAACAGAACAGAAGATGGGCAGTATAAATTTATATCTATTACAGGTAAGAGCCTGTATTAGAACTTTAAATCCTAAAGAAGAAAAGTATATGCAACAGGAAATAAAGTTCAAGCGTCAAGTATTTGTTAGAAATGTCATGAGGCTAAAAGTAATGATCATGCTATTTATAGATCTTTCCAAATTTATTCAGTAAGTATTTTATATTTCTAACTATATCTTAATTTTAGTTATTGTAACCTACCTTTTTTGAGATTCAGATGATTATTTTTTTTAAATAACTAGTGATTGCTAACGATTTTTAAAAGTAAATGTGTGTTAATTGAAAATTAATACATTGCAATTGGAGGGCATTAGTATTTGGGCTACATTAAACATTCACGCAATATATACATACAAATGATAACTGAAATAGAGATAAAAGAAAAAGAGTTGTAGAAAGTAAAATAAGAAAATTAACATACATACGAAAAAAAAAAAATTAGAGAGAAACTAGAAATGAAATTAAAATATATAAAACACACTCACACCTATATACAATATTTACATTCACCCAAGGGATTCTGAGTCATGCATTGTCCCCAAAATGTGGAAGCCAAAGCAGGACCCCAGGATATCCCAGTGCTTCTCTCAAAACTGCGTCACTAATATTGCAAACCAGTGGAGACTGATGGAGGCCACTAGAGCAACAGACGCTCAGGACTTGAGTGGAGAATCTGGCCATTGCCAGTACTCCAATATATACATATTTACAAAAGGTCGCGGGGCCACTGCCATTTTAACCTCCGGGGAGGATTGTAGGGATGGCTGGAGCTAGATAGGAATTGCGCTACAGCATACTATTGCATTAATATTTGTTCGTTAATAAAACCAATATAATGTACCAAAAATGTTATTATATCACTATAACTAAGCCATTTATGTGTACTTAATGGTGTGGTAGAGGCCTGTAGGCACCCACGCCAGCACCGCTTTTCGGCCGCATAAGTACATTTTCTACGGAACTGCTTAAAATTTTTTAAAAAATAATCAGCGTTTTAGAAAGAGAAATATATTCTCCAGATGTTTTTTTTCAGCGCGTTTTGCGTTATTGTAGGTCGTTTAATTACAAACGACGCTTGATTCGTAACTTTTATAACTTTTTTGTAAATAAAATTGACTTTACTGGTGTTTTTCGTAGCCTAAGCCAATTATTTTTTAATATGTCTTCATGTTTTATTATTTTACGACTATTCAGCTTTAATAAAAGACCAACTATGAGGAAATTAAGCCAAATGCTGATTCTCAGTGACCAAAAAACAAACTAAATTCAAAGTTGTCAATCCGCCATCTTTGGACGCCATTTTAGGGCAGTGCGTTCACTTTTTTTTGTGGAAACATTGGCTGTTTTTTGATAAATTGTTACAAGGAACACAACGATATGCAATTTATAGGGATGTGGGGGGGGGGGGGGGTCTGGCCCACAGACTATATTGGATGTTGAAGTTGGGATTGGGGTTTCTGTTGCGGCAGGGCCTCACATTTGTCAGTTGGGGCTCTGCCCCCTAGTAACTGGGAAAAAGAAACTTTAGAGTCTACTATTTTAGCAGGTCCTCTTCTGGGCTTAGAGATTTCTTCTTGGTTCCCGGGTTTACGAAATTTATTTTTGATGTTTTTGTAGACTTGGCAGGATGGCAGGCACCCTTGTAGTTGGAAGGATGTCCTTCCATGCATAAAGCACATACAGCACACACTACATGAAGCACTAGCCTTGTATGACTCTCCGCATTTCACGCATCTTGGAATGTGGTGGCAGTAAGTTTTGGTGTGGCCATATGCTTGGCAATTATGGCACTGGACGATTTCTCTTTTAGTGTATGGTTTTTCAACCTTAACACTAGTATAACATAATCTTCTAATTTAATATATTTTATCAACTCCGGCTGAGGGTTCTAAATCTATGAAAAATATGGGTAATGGTATTTTTCTAGTAGCACCGGATACATCTCTGTCATCCTTCATTACATTGGTGACCTGTTGGACTTTGAAACCTAGGACCGTCAGTTCTTCTTGATTGCTTGGGCTGGAGTAGAGGGGTGTAAATTCCAGATTACTACCCTCAGGGAACGCTCTTGCCTCAATTGGTAGGTGTGAAAATCTGCGTTTGTGTCGAATAGATATTTAATAATTTAGTGGTATGCATCAGCTGTGCCTGGAGATATTTTAATATCGTTAGTCCAGCTTAAACAGGAGTAGCTACCAGGAGTTGTAATTTTGTTTAAATGTGTGCATAGTAGTAGGAAATTTTTTTCAATTTTTAACAAAAATTGGAGGGGTGTCGAGGGTCTCTGGGAATGGGTGCAGATTCCGCCTCTTTTTTATTTTGCAGTACTTTGTAAGGATTCAGGGCGAAAAAGGGAGACTTATCTATCGTGCCCTGAGATGTACCTGGCTGAAGTTGAGTGTCTTCTGCTACTTTAGGTGGAGTCGTTCTTTTCGATTGGTGACTTTTTTTTTTTCACAGGTGACAAACGTGGTATTGATCCGGCAAAGCGAGACCTCATTGTTGCAACCTTAGAAGACATGAGTTGATGGTAGTATCACATAATACAACTAGAGAAAGTGGAAGAAGAAAAAAAAATGAATTAAAAAAAAAATTAAAAACACGCAGTGTGACCTTTATTTTGTATCAGCATCGCAAAAGAACCTCTCCCGTTAGGGCTCCAAGCCCAACTGACTAGTCTGGGCCAGGTACTTATGACTGCGAGATAAGAGAACTGGCCTCTATACACCAGCTTCACTTCACACAACTGTTCACAATAAATAACAACTGTACTCACTGTGGCATTAGTGCATATTATGGTCCAGGTGTTTAGCTCACGTATAGTCACAATTTTATTAAAAAATAACACTAATTTCCCAAGAAAAAGTGAATATATCTTAGAGACGAGATAACAGTGGTATATTATAATCTAGCGCATACGCAGAAATCGTCATTTTTTCTAAGTTGTCTTTATTAACCTTCTGTTTAGTGCTATTACATTCTTACTTGTTTAATGTGTGTGGTTAAAATTATTTTATTAAATGTCAATAAAAACTCATATCAGAGTTGCTTAGTTAAAATTTTATTATTTATTTACAGGAGTTGTTTTGAATGGGATTCCACTATTCAAAGTACAGTGGCTTTTGTTGTTTTTGTACTATTATGTTATTATTTTCAACCATTTATGATACCTGTGGCTTTACTACTGATTTTTCTAAAGTGTTACATAGTAAGTATTATATTGTACAATATTTCATCACTATCAAAATATCTTTAAAACTTTACTGCTTTTCCAAATTAAATACTAAATGTTGTTTTAGTTATTTTCTACCACTGTTTCAGTTCTTACAAATTTAATGCAAATAAATATTTACTTTTCAACTCTTTTAACAAAAAAACAATGCAATCTATTCAAATTTTATTTTGTTCATTTCAGATTATATAAATCTAAAATTAACTATTTATCATTTTTGTTTAGGTACGAACTGTTGCTGGGACTTGGCATAATTCTGAAGAGGATGACGAACCATATGATGATGAAGAAGATGAAGATGATAAAGATAAAGTAAGATACCATTTATATATCAAATTATTTATGAATACAGTTTTTGTTAATTTATGTAAACTGATATAACTATTGTGTAATATCTAAGAACCATTTTTTAGGAAACTAATATTCTCATAAACCCTTACATAACTTGTGGCATTAATTTTCTGAGCTTAAAACCGCCAAGGCCTTGATAGGAGACTTGTGTGATATTTTTCTTGGAGCTTTAGCCAGAAGCAAAACGGAATGCATAAAAGTTTGAGAATATTTTATCTTAGTTATGGATGTTCTTACTGGTGCCTACAGTACCTGTTTAGACTCCTGTTTTAGTTTTGATTTAGTGATGATAACTACAGATGAAACATTCATTTTTTTTTTTTTTCTTAAGGAATCAGGTCATTCTTCCCACTTTCCTTGAAAGTTACAATTTTAACACTAAGGAAATTGGATGGAATTTTCTGATACCTATAATTTGTACTTTAATTGAGTATAAATCTACATTACTAACCACAGTAGTTTGCTCTACATGCAACAAATGTTTCAATATCTCTGGTACCAATGTATTGGATCAATTGAAAAAACAAACAAACTGGTTTTATACATTATGTATAAATCCTCACAGTAAGCAACAAGTTATAGCAGCCATGAATGTGTCAGAGGAAAGCAATAACTCTATTTTGGCTGAGGTAAGAAAGATACTTGGGGTATCAAGGAAGTAAAGATATTGCTTGGAAAGTGAAGTGATCTTGCATTAGAAAATAGTGAGGGACTAACAAAAATTGAAGAGATGGATCTTAAACAAGAAAAAATGAAAAAAAAAAAAAAAGTATAGAAAATCTACTTAGTGAGAATAGATTGTTAAAATCACAAACAAATATCCTGGAGGTGAGGCTTAATTAAGTTAAACTACCCAAGTTGTCTAACAAGTTAGAGGTAAAGGGTATTATGCCTAACGGTAATGAAACAGCTGAGGGCTTAGTATGCTTTATTGGTGTGGCTCTGGAGATGATAATCTAGGTTTTGAGGAACTAGATTTTGTAGAAAAGTAAAGATCTAGAAGAGAGGATACTCAGTCATCAGTTATATAATAGATCCGATTTTATCCTTCTTTTGAACCCTCCCTCCTTACATATATACCTCTCTATGTTATTGAAGATGACATATGGTTGTGAAACATTGGATAATTGACCAGAAGACTTGTCACAAATTGAGGATAACCATCAGAGGAATTGAGCGGTGTCTTCTTGGGATAGAAAGGATAGAACAGCATAACAAGAAGGGATAGAAAAGCAAATAAATGGATTAGAGCTGAGATTGACCTTCCAGATATCGTGGAAAAAGTGCACATCAGGAAGTGGACCTGGACTGGACATGTAATCTGCACGCATCATATAACATGGACCAGGTAGTTTATGGATTGGTATCCAAGAGATCATGTGAGAAAGAGAGGACGCCCGCCGACAAACTGGGACTAGGAGATGAAGAAGACCTGTAGGAGAGCAGCCTGGAAGAGAGTAGCATTGGAGAGGAATGGAAACGGATGGGACAGGTTCATTACCTAGTGTGGTTGCAAGAGAGCTAGAAAAAAAGAAAGAAAAACAATCAAACTCAAAACCTCAACTAAAATGTTGATTTTGTACTTATAAGAAGGTTAAGTATAAATCAAAATGTAAAGATTTTGTATATATCTATTTTTTATCCATTTTTTTTTCATTGTATGTACAAATAAATTATTATTTATTGTCTTAGCTCTCTCAGATTTCTGGAATAACATCCACGTCCCAGAAAAACATTCAAGGGAATGTAGATGAATGTAAAAATAAAAAAAAATACTTACTTAGAAACTTTTTGACAATCCTGCATGTATCGAGCAGGACCACTTTTTGTGCTGCTTTTAAATGCACCAAATCAAGTCCAAGTTGTTGGGTACCCTCTACTGTGCTTTTTAATATTAACCCATTAGAAGATATCATTATTGGAGTAATCTTCACTTTTTGCAAGTGATATAGTGTTTTTAACTCGAAAGCAAATTCTTGGTATTTTCTCATTTTTTCGGCCCTGGTGGTTATCATTTTTATATCACAAGGTACTGCTATATCTATTATTTCTCCAGTTTTATTTCTTTTGTTTATGACCAAGATATCCGGATGGTTATGCAATATCCTATTGTCTGTTATTATATTTTGATCCCAGTAAACTTTTATATTCCTATTTTCATTAAGTTTTTCAGATGCATAGCGATAATAGGATAACTCATCACTCTCCAATAGTCTGCATTTTCTGCAAATACTTTGGTGATACATTTTTGTGACATTACTATGCCTCATGAGGTATTCCATTCCTGCAAGAGTATCACAGCCATTGGTAACATGTTGGAAAGACTCATGCGTCCTCAAGCAAAGCCGACACTTATCTGTGGCCAGATTTTCTTTTAATATATGTTTCCTATAGGCCCTGGTTGCGATAACCTGATCCTTAATAGCTAGAAAAAAACCTTCTGTCATGCCATATATTTGCCCTGTCTTTAACCAATCAATGGAAGGCTCACTGTTTATCTCCGGCACACGTAATTGGTGGTGAAATCTGCCATGCAATTCCTTTTCCTTCCATATGATTTTATAACAGTCAACATTTCTCACTTCCGGTCGAATTGGATCGCCAAAATTCTGGGCAGTGTAACGTTCATCCAATTCTTTCATCCAGGTGATAATTGGAGACGCATTTGTAATAAAATATTCCTTTAGTGAGTTTTCTTTTTTTTGGCAAGAGTCCTCAATCGATATAAGGCCACGGCCTCCTTCTTTGAGTGATGAATCTTAGCATCTATCATCATCATACCAGGTGGTCCATTTCTTGAAGTTTGGTAGCTGACCATTTTATAACACCAAAACTATATGCTACCAATGGTGTCGCCCATGTATTAATGGCATGGATTTTTTTTTTACCATTTAGATGACTTCTGAGAATCTGAAGCAGTCTTATCTTGAACTTGCTAGTTATTTCACTAAGTACCTCCTTCTTGGCTATCTTAAAAGCCTGCTTAATAACTAGGTATTTATAAAATTCTCCTGCAGACTGGTGTCTCATTAATTCTCCTGACGGAAACTGCAAGGAACTGCTTTCCTTAACTTTCCCTTTAGTAACATTGAGTTTGGAGCACTTTTCGAGACCGAACGACATACAGACTGATTTACTGAACATTAACACAAGTTCCATCATGCATTGTAGCTGGTCTTTATTTTTTGCATATAACTTGAGATTGTCCATATACAAACTGTGGCTGATGGTGGATGTCTGGTCACCTATTTTTAATTGGTATCCAAGCTTGCTGTTTCAGAGGATACTACTTAATGGTGCTAGAGCTAAACAAAACCATAGTTATTATTATTATTTTTTCAATTCTGGGCTTTATGCCGGATAAATTCACTGACCCGGACCGAGGTCAAGGGTACAGTTTATTGAATATTTAATTTGAAATAATAAAAAAAATTTCAAACAATGCTGGCAGTTACCAGCATTACCGCTTTCTGGATTTCCTGAAGTTCCCAGCTTAATCCAAGTACCTTCATTGATTTTAGAGTCTCTTCAGGAATCAGGCCATTGCTGGATACAATAATGGTGTAGTACTTTTACTTCCACCAGCCGGTATAACTGCCTTAATTCCTCGCATAGCTCTTGATAATTTTGAATTTTTTCACTTAATGTTTTAGCTACATTATCATTAGCAGGAACTCCAACTTTGATAATGATGGCTTTCTTTGTTTCTTTATCAACAGGAAGTATATTTGGTCTATTGTGGGGAATACTATGGTCAGTTATCATAGTTTGATCCCAGTATAGCTAGACATTCTTTTTTTCTAATATAGGTTGTGGCTGATATCTATAAAAAAACTGATGGCCTGTTATTAATTTATATTTTTGTGCCAGAGCCTGATGCACGATTTTTGCAGCATTATTGTATCTCGAAATGTATTCTTTACCCACTAATACCTGGCAGCTAGAGGTAACATGTTGAATCGATTCATTTGTGGCTTTGCATAGACGGCATCTGTTATCGACTGCTTCATGTAGAATATACTTCCTGTAGGAGGATGTTGCCATTACCTGTTCTTGTATTGCCAGAAGGAATCCCTCTGTCTCTGGGAACATTTTTCCTGTCAACCTACGGACTGAGGCTTCTAATTGTTTTTAGGGAATTGTAAAATCTTCCATGAAGCGATTTACACTTCCATGATTCTGTGCGGCTCTCCTCAGTATGCATTGTCATTGGTTCTTGCCGAAGCATATTCAGTGCTGTATAGTTACAATCAAGGGCAGCAACGATCAACAGCATTGTTGAAGTACTATTCATGAAGTAAGTTCTAAGGCTGACTTCTTGTTCACAGCAGGCCTTCATTAAACTAATAAGTCCTCTACCTCCATGTTTTCTAGGCAAATACAGTCTTGGCATTGAAGAATTTGGGTGACTTTGCTGTGATTTTATCATTTCCATACTTAATAAGCAGTCCATCTTTTCCAAACCCGTGTCGCACCATTTTATTACTCCAAAGAAATATGTAACAGTAGGAATCACACAGATATTATTATTTAGGTAAAAAAGCATTTACTGGTTACATCACATTACCCGGACTTAAGTCAAGGATAGGCTAAACAAATTAATCTGATTAATTAATCTTAATATAATTGCATTCATAAATTTTCGAACAATACTAGCTGTTCCGAGTAACACCGCTTTCTGCATTACCTCCAAACCATTCATCGAAAGGCCTAATTCCTTCATGGAGCCCACTATTATGTCCGGAATCAAACCATTTGCAGAGATTGCCATCGGCAAAACCCTCACTTTATCAAGTTTATAGGATTGCTTAAGCTCCTCACCAAGGTCTTGATATTTGCAAATTTTTTCCCCAACCACCTTGTGAAGGTTATCATCCGATGGCACTCCTATTTAGACAATCTTTGCATGGCTCTCATCCTTCAAAACAAACAAAATATCAGGCCTGTTGTGTGGAAAAGTA